AAGTTAGAAAAGGCAAGGAAACAGATTTTTCCATAGACCCTCCCAAAGGAAAGCAGGCCTGCTGACACCTTGATTTCAGCCCTTTGTGGTGACCAACCTAGACAGCATATTTAAAAGCAGAGACATCACTTTGCCAACAGAGGTCCGTCTAGTCAAAGCTATGGTTTTTCCAGTAGTCATGGATAGATGTGAGAGTTGGACTCTTAAGAAAGCTGAGCACTGAAGAATTAATGCTTTTGAACTGTGGTGTTGGAGAAGACTCTTGAGAGTCCCTTGGACTGCAAGATCCAATAACTAAAACTTTTAAAAGAAAATTTAAAAGTATGTGTGTTAGTTGCTCAGTTGTGTCTGACTCTTTCTCACCTCTTGGACTGTAGCCCGCCAGGCTCCTCAGTCCATGGAATTCTCCAGGCAAGAATACTGGAGTGGGTAGCCATTCCCTTAGGCACAACCATTGAGAACTATTATAGAAAAATTTAATTATGTGGAACACATGAGGATATATTAAGATTTACAAAAAGGTTACAATACTATGTAATTTAAAACCTATATTTGTGTATGTATTTTGTTTACTATAGACTCAATTGTATCTCCCCCAAATTCTTGTTATTCTTATTCTCTAACGTCCAATGTGACTATAGTTGGTGACAAGGTTTTTAGGAGGTAATTAAGGTTAACTGAGCTCTGGGATTCAGTTTGAACTGTGGTGTTGGAGAAGACTCTTGAGAGCCCCTTTGACTGCAAGGAGATCCAACCAATCCATCCTAAAGAAATCAGTCCTGAAATTCACTGGAAGGACTGATGCTGAAGCTGATGTGAAGAACTGACTCATTGGAAAAGACCCTGATGCTGGCAAAGATTGAAGGCAGGAGAAGGGGACAACAGAGGATGAGATGGTTGGATGGCATCACCAACTCGATGAACATCAGTTTGGGTAAACTCTGGGAGTTGGTGGTGGACAGGGAAGCCTGGCATGATGCAGTCCACAGGGTTGCAAAGAGTCAAGGCACGACTGAGGAACTGAACTGAACTGAGGTCATAAGGGGTCTTCTCTGGTGGCTCATTCAATGAAGAATCTGCCTGCAATGCAGGAGACCTGGTTGGGGCTTCCCAGGTGGCACTAGTGGTAAGGAACCCACCTGCCAATGCAGGAGATCTAAGGGAAACGGGTTCGAGGGTTGGGAAGATCCCCTGGAGGAGGCCATGGCAACCCTCTCCAGTATTCTTGCCTGGAGAATCCCATGGATAGAGGAACCTGGCAGGCTACAGTCCATAGGGTTGCAAAGAGTCAGACATGACTGAAGCCACTTAGCATGCATACACACGGGGTCATAAGACCAGGTTCTTCATGATAGGATTGGCACCCTTACAAGGACAACTGAAAGCTTGCTCACTCATGCTCTCAACGTCTGACCATCACGTGAGAACATAGCGAGAAGAGGCCGTAGAAGAGATCTCTCACCACATCAGGAACAATGCAAGCACCATGATCTGGGACTTTTAGCCTCTAGAACTGTGAGAAAATAAACTTGTTTGAAGCTACCCCATCTATGGGATTTTGCTATGGCAGCACAAACTATCACTACAGATTTTAGTATTGAGAAGCAGAGCATAGCTTTAAGGAATACCTAAATTGGGCAAGAAGCTTTGGGACAGTAATGGAGGCTGGAAGAGTTTAGAGGTGGCAAGCTAGAAATATGGATATTAAAGGTGATTCTGGTAAGATTTCATACAGAAATGAGGAATATGTTATCATGAACTGGAGAAAAGATGACCGTTGTTATAACATGGTAGGACACAGGCTTTATGGAATTTAGAAATTTCAGGTAATGAAACCAGCTGTTTAGCTGAGGAGTCCAAGCAAAGTACTGGAGTGGCTTGGTTCCTTACTTAATAGTAAAATGCAAAATGAGATACATGAATTAAAGATGAAATTGATAAGCAAAAAGGAACCAGAACCTAAAGATTTGGAAAATTCTCAGCCTATCCATATTGCAAAAAATTGGACAACATGTTCTGAAGAGGACATCAGGGCTGTGGCTGGACCATCACTCCATAAAAAGCTTATGGGATTATAAGAGCAGAATCATTGCCAGTTTGAACTGTCAGGGGCAGAGACAGGACAACATGAAGGCTGACTTCTTGGATTTGACAGAATTTGAGAACTGTTTTGCTGCAAACATCAGGTATTCTTTAAGAAGAAGAAAAACTAAACATGAGGGCCATTCAGAGGTCATGAAGACTAGTGCCTCATTTTCAACAGGTCAGATGGCCTCTGGCCAGAGTTCAGGGGCAAAATTCCCACATAGGGCTGTGAGGTGATACTGCCATGCCAGCAGGGCTGGAAGGCAGAGTATCAAACCAAAAAGGATTAATGTCAACCCTTAAGATCTAATGGAATTTACCTTGCTAGGCTTTGGACTTCCTTGGGACCCATCACTCTTGTTTTTCATCCTGATTTCTCCCTTTGGAACATCTATTCTATCATTGTCCTGTCACTGTATTTTGGAAACACATGTCAGGTGTCACATGTTCACAGCCAGAGAATTTTGCCTCGTGAAGAATTATACCTGGGGACTCCCCTGGTGGTCCAGTGATTAAGAATCTGCCTTGCAGTGCAGGAAACAGGGGTCGACCCCTGGTTAGGGAACTAAGATCCTACATGCTGCAGAGCTACTGAGCTTGCACACAACTAGAGAGTTCATGCGGTGCAGTGAAGATTCCATGTGCCACAACCAAGACCCAATGCAGCCAAATAAATATATTTTTAAAATTGTACTTGGAATCTCACATATGTCTAATTTAGATGATATCTTTTATTTTTTAAAAATTTAGATGATATCTTTTAAAATATTTATTTAGCTATGTTGGGTCTTAGTTGCGAAACAAGGGCTTACCTACCCCATGGCATGTGGTACCTTATTTCCTCAACCAGGGATTGAACCCACATATACTGCATTGGAAGACAGGTTCTTAACCACTGGACCACCAGGAAAGCCCCAAGAGGGTATGTTAACGAGACTTTGTACTTTAGAGTTGATGCTGGAATAAGTTGGGGCTGCTGGAATGACATGCATGTGTTTTGTGTGAGAAAGACATAAATTTGGGAGGACCAGGGGCAGAATGCTATGGACTGACTGTGTCCTTTCAAAATTCACATGCTGAAGCCCTACCTCCAATCTATGTGAGGACAGGGCTTTTAGGAGGTAATTAATGTTAAATGAGGTTATAAGGGTGGATTTCTCATAAGATTGGGGGCCATATAAGACAGGGAAGAGAGAATGATCTTTTTCCACAGACATCCACTTAGGAAAATCTTTGTGAGCACACTGTAAGAAGGCAGCTGTCTGCAAGTAAGGGAGACAGCCCTCACCAGAACCAGACCATGCTAGGATGCTGTGAAAAACCATGAGAAAATTCTGTTGTGTAATTCAATGGTATTTTGTTATTTCAGCCCAAGCAGACTGAGTTTATAACTAGAAAAATAAATGTCTTTTCAGCAATAGCAACAATTTTGAAAAACTATGATATGTAAATTTTATTTTAAAAGTTGCAAACAAAAGAAATACACTTGGCTTTGTCTATATTCAGAGTCTTACAGTTCTTTTAAACTACAGTGTTATAAGCTTTAGAAAATGAGCTCTTACAGTATCTGATGACTGATAACACTGATATTTATCACTTAACAACCCCCTTACTCTCCTGATGTTATGACTGGAGTAGACAGAATATAAAATGACAAGTCAACTTTGACAAGGACTGCATTAATTATAATAAAAACATATGCCTTAAAGCCCTCAAAAATAAGATAGCTACATTTAGTTATCCTAAAGTAATCAATTGAAATTAGTCTTGGATAATTAGGATGCCCGTAAACCTGATTTTCCTTGGATAGTCCTGATTTATGTCCTGGTATAATGGCGAGCAGAGCCTTCTTTTGCTTTTTAAAAAGTCTTTGCAAAACTATAGTTAAGACTGTATAATCAATTACAGAATAACTACATGTTAAAAATTTTATGAATTTAGTGTTCAGTCTGGGACAGGAAGTACCAACTGTCACTAAAATCTGGAAAATATGGTTGGCACATTATATAATATTCAATCACTTAAATAATTTTCTTCTCCAGGAGTCAAAGTAAATCTTGTAAATGAATTAAGAAGTACTAAGATGAACCAGGTACCAAAACAGTTTTAGACTTTGAAACCACTCAAGAATTCAGATTTTTAATTTATTCAAGCAGTGTTAAGATTATTCAAAGGAAAATGTCAATACACCTAGAACTGGATCACATCATGTTTCAAAAATACAGAAATAAATGACTGTGAGCTTATCAACCTGAATATTCTGGAAGATGTATGTTCCAGTCAATGTTCTAGATGGGATAACAATTTCTAAGTATTTCCTTTAACATTATAAAATAACATTAAAAAATGAACCGATGACTTCGATTTTAGGATTGAGGTCACTAAAATCAGAGTGGTCATCTAAAGTTTGTATCCTACCCATCAACTGAATGTAATAATATGCTGACTCATGGTGCTGGCTTTTCTTTAAAATAGAAATAGGTCATTTTTAGGAGTTATCAAAGCTACATTTAAAGAGGAGAGCACAACGGGAATGTGAAAAAAAATCTTTTCTTCCTAGAAATGTCTAGGCAACTGGCAAAGAAATGAGGGGAAAAAAGTCTGAATATTAAATTCGGATTAGCCACATGAGATCAGCTTTCCACATTTGCAAAACACAATGCCTGTAATATCTCTACTCAATGTTATTAAAATGAAAACAGGGTCACATATAACTATAGAACACTGCTAATTTAGAACTCTTTCAGAGAATATTTAAGTAGTTTCACTTAATACAGACCTGATTTGTTCATTCACCATTCACTTAACATATAGACCTAATTCATTCACACCATAGTGTGTTCATACTCTAAAGAGTCTACTACTTGTAAACATTCCATCTCTCATAGGGATCAATACATATGTATACTTTGAGCCTAGTCTTTGGATTCCTGTTCTTCCTCTGAGTCCCGCCATCGCTTCCGGGAATTCAATGAACCTTCTGTTTGCAATGAATATGCAGAAGCAACAACAGCATCTCTAAATCCCTGAGGCTGCAAGATGAAAAAGTATACAAGTATGCTTTAAGAACATCTAAAATAACAACTGGTCTTCCAAATACTTTAAAGAAATAAGACAGCTACTTTATTCTTGGGACAGAAGTTATCAACCACTGTGAATGAAGAGGATAAACCTCAAAGACGAGTGTCCAAGCCAGGATTATACTATTTTTATCTAGAATCTCTTGCGTATTTACTTACACATACACATATAGAGAAATAATAGTGCATTATAAAAATAATCTCTAAAGGTCAATCCTAACAAACTTTATGGTGGCTTTACTACAAGAAGTGAAAGGAAGTATCCCACATGCCACAAGGCACGGCTGAAAAAAAATCTTTAATATCTTGACATTACCCAGGACATGGAACACACTACCCTACAAATAAGTATTTCCTCTGTTCTTAAGAATAAATTTCAGTTCAATTGTGACTAGAGCATTCTTTATATATACTACTATTTTGGGGATAATGTTCTAAACATCAAAATCTGTCCTCAAATATGTTCACTGCCTACAGAAGTTAACAGAAGCAATTTGTAAATGCTTTTTTCAAATAATTACTGCCCACTAACACCAAAATCCCACTCTAACCAAGTAATACTGACTGTGATCTGAAACGGTACTGTAGATTCCTTCTGGCTTGGTGATTTGTACAATGTCGCCAACCTGCTTAGAGGAAAAATAAATATACACAAACACATGATCTTAATTAATTAGCTCAGATGACTCAGTTCATAATTTAAATTTATAGTTTTTCATTATAATTCTATTATTTTGTTGTCTAAGAACACACAAAGCAAATAAATATAAAAAACACTTCCTTAAAACAACTATATATATAGCAAGTAATAACTATTACATATAATAACAATAGAATTGTGTGCATAACTGAAATTTTAAAACAACCTAAAAAGACAATGACTAATTCAAATAAATCATTTTATGCATGACAAGATACTATGTACACTTAAAATAAGGTGGAAGAAAATAATTAATGAGATGGGAAAATATTAACAATATACAAAGTATAAGTTATACTGTATGATCCCACATTTATGAGTAAGCTTGCATATATATTTTATATAGAAAAATTACTAGAAGACTACAACCACAAAGTTAAGTTGCTATTACAAGGTAAAGGCTATTTTTTGGTTTGATTATCTATATCTTTCAAACTTTCTATGGTAATTGTGTATTTTTTATGTATGAGAAGCATTAAGACAATTTCTTGGTATACAACTAAGGAACACACACTCATTATACTAATATAAACAATCTAGGAAAATACATTCTTTCAAAATGAGTATGTTCAGAAAAATCATTGTCAGAAAAGGACAAGGTCTGTTTAGGTACAATTTTATTGTGTACTCTAAAACTGAAAGCTCAAAGTAGTTGAGAAATAAAATTCTAAACTCTTTTTTTTTTCTCTAAGTTTATTTATTTTTTTTCCATTTATTTTTATTAGTTGGAGGCTAATTACTTTACAATATTGTAGTGGGTTTTGCCATACATTGACATGAATCAGCCATGGATTTACATGTATTCCTCACCCCGATCCCCCCTCCCACCTCCCTCTGCACCTCATCCCTCTGGGTCTTCCCAGTGCACCAGCCTCAAGCACTTGTCTCATGCATCCAACCTGGGCTGGTGATCTGTTTCACCCTTGATAATATACATGTTTCAATGCTGTTCTCTCTAAACATCCCACCCTCGCCTTCTCCCAGAGTCCAAAAGTCTGTTCTGTACATCTGTGTCTCTTTTTCTGTTTTGCATATAGGGTTACCACTACCATCTTTCTAAATTTCATATATATGCGTTAAGCAAAAAAAAAAAATAAATAAATTCCATATATTGCGTTAGTATACTGTATTGGTCTTTATCTTTCTGGCTTACTTTACTCTGTATAATGGGCTCCAGTTTTATCCATCTCATTAGAACGGATTCAAATGAATTCTTTTTAATGGCTGAGTAATATTCCATGGTGTATATGTACCACAGCTTCCTTATCCATTTGTCTGCTGATGAACATCTAGGTTCTTATTAACTATGCTCAAATACCATAACAGCAACAAATATAGCTGACCCTTGAACAATACATACCAATCCCTCTGCAATCAAAAACCTGAATGTACATGCATGCTAAGTTGCTTCAGTGGTGTCCAGCTTTTTGTGACCCTATGGACCATAGCCTGCCAGGTTCCTCTGTCCATGGGATTCTCCAGGGAAGAATACTAGAGTAGGTTGCCATGCCCACCTCTGGAGAATCTTCCCAACCCAGGGATCAAACAGGAGTCTCTTATGTTTCCTGCTTTGGCAGGAGGATTCTTTACCACTAGTGCCACCTAGGAAACCCCCAAAATCCAAATACTCTGCTTCAAAAACAAAGGAATTGATTGAGTTATCCAAGAGCAGGAAGTTGAGAGAGATTTAGGACTCAACCCCAGTTCTTTTAATTCCACATATTGTGATCTCACTGGCTTCCCTCATAGCTCAGCTGCTACAGAATTGGACTGCAAAGCAGGAGACTCAGGTTCACTCCCTGGGTCAGGAAGATCCCCTGAAGAAGGAAATGGCAACCCACTCCAGTATTCCTGCCTGGAGAATCCTATGGACCGAGGAGCCTGGCAGGCTACAATCCATGGGGTCACAAGAGTCAGACATAACTTAGTGACTAAACCACCATCACCAAAATGAAAATACAGAGACTATATTTATTGAAAAAAATACATCTATAAGTGGACCCACGAAATTCAAATTCCTGTTCACAGGTCAACTTTACAAGCAAAACCTTTTAAAGTGCCTTTTAACAATTACTTAGAACTGATATAACTTATTCACAAAAGCTAAAGGTAGAATCTACAGCTCATGTGTCTGACAGATGATTGGATAAACAAAATGTGGTATATACATACTATGGAATGTTAGTCTTAAAAAAGAAAGAAATTCTAACATTTGCTGCAATGAACCTTGAAGACATTACACTAAGTCAAATAAAGCCAGTCACAATAGGAACAATATTGTATGCTTCCACTTATATTAATGAGTGCCTAGAAATGGCAACCCACTCCAGTGTTCTTGTCAGGAGAATCTTAGGGACGGGGGAGCCTGGTGGGCTGCCATCTATGGGGTCACACAGAGTCGGACACAACTGAAGCGACTTAGCAGCAGCAGCAGATTAGTCAAATTCACAGAGACAGAAGGTAGTATGGTGGCTGCCAGAGGCTGATGTGAGTGGAGAATGGGTAGTTACTATTTAATAGGCATGAAGTTTCAGTATGGAAAGATGAAAAAATTCTGGAGATGGACGGTGGTGATAATTGTACAATAATATGAATGTACTTCATGCCACTGAATTGTACACTTACACGGTTAAAATGGTAAATTTTGTTATGAATACTTTAACACAATTTTTAAAAACTGATATAACTGTACACAATGAAGATTCTAAGAGAAAAATCATAGACTCTCTTGAAAGATTATTTGTTTACATATAATATAACATTGATTTGTTTTCAATGATAATTTAAGAAGGCCATTTTTGTTTATGATCTGTTACTCTTTCAGTTTTGAAACTGCCCTGCTACTCAGGCATAATTCAAAAAAGAAGCAATCAGAGACCATCATCCACTCACTAGCTTTTAAGTTTGTTTTTTCAGGATGAAAACAGAAGAATTCAAAATGTCATCTTTGTTATTGCAACTGTATGCATAAATAAAATAACTGCAAAGTAATATGTAACATAAGAATAGTTGTATTAGGGAGTGAAATCATCAACTTTTACAATACTTTAGGGTTGACTGTCTATCTTTAATGCAAAATGAAACAGGAAAAATAGAGGCACCTCCTTAAAATTAAAAAATCACACATTTTGATCCAATAAAACAAAAGTTAGCTAACCTTCTGAAAAATGAGTATCTAAATCACCTCATATCACCATATGTCCAAAAAGGTACCCATACATCCGACTTTCCTGAGAAAATTATTAAAAAGGAAATAAGCTTGTAAGAAGTATTTACAAGTTTATTAAGAATCCTAAAGTCAAATGGACATTATGTATTCAGGTGGAAAAATCTTCCTCAAATTTCTAGGTAAAAACAAAATTTTGTATTTCATGTCTGCATCTCAAGATATCTTTTAAAACAACAAACTAAACGAAGAATCACTTGGCTCATGGCCCCAGCTGAGATGAAGCTTAACATATGGCTGAACTACATAGTTTAGGTCAGGAAGAAACAAGACAGAAGCACAATTTGTGCTCTAAAGCTGAGACACATATGAAACACTGTGTGGGGGTGTTGATATATTACTCCACTCTACCACCAGATCGTCTTGGCAAAGACTGGTATAATTCTGAACAATCTTGGCCTCATATTATCATGAATATGCAAATTGGAGGAAAACCCACACAATATACAGGACAGAGACAAAAGTATTTCTTTTAATAACTGTTGAAATGTTATTCTGTTACTAGACAAAGGGTAAAAATCCTAGTGAAGAACTGGGACTGGGACATGATATGGGACACTGAAGTTCAATCTCAATATAAATCTGGCAAGTCAAGGTTTTCATTTTTCTGCTCAGGCTAGAAGTGTTCATTTTGATAAAATATTTTCCCCCAGCATGAATTTCTATTTCCATTCTTTCAAGACACACTGTATTTTAAAATGCATACAAGATTTCATGCAACTTTAATAACTTAAAAGATATCTAATTTCAAACAATGAAGAATAAAACAATGTTGATTTTATTAAATGAAGTCAACTTCTTCTGATTATAACAAAGTATGCATTAATACTTATCATATATCCACAGCCTAGGGAAAAAAGCAGTTTAGTATAAAAGGTTTTTACCTTAAAAGGAGGATAAGATATACCTTCAGATTCACTAGCAATCAATGCAGTGATATAATTACTTTCAAGAAACAGCAATTATAAGAGAAAAGGAATGGACTTTTATAAAGCCAGCTATAAAATGTGGATACTGTACCTATGTCATAGAGTTCTTTGTAAAATAAAATGAAATTTTATGTATACACACACACAGAGCACTTAGCACAATAAAGAACAGTTAATATTCAAAAAGTGGTAGTTGCTATTTACTATGTTTTAATCTTCCAGTGCCTTGATCTTCTCACTGTTAATGATAATAGGTGTAGAGCCTTCAAAGAGTTACTGAAGGACTCAGAGAAATAGAGAACAAATGAATGGTTACCAGTGGGGAGGGGGAGAATGGCAGTATAGGAGTAGGGGACTAAGAGGTACAAACTATCATGTATAAAATAAACTACAAGGGTATACTGTACAATACAACAAATATAGCCAATATTTTATAATAGCTTTAAATGGAGCATAACCTTTAAAATTTTTGAATCATTATATTGTATACCTGTAACATATAAAATTGTATATCCACTATAGTTAAATTTGGTTAAAAAGAGTTATTGAATAGGTTATTTGCAATGCTGTATATAAGATGCACAGTTAAATACCTAGCACAAGCAAGCACTCATTAAAATAGTATGAGATACAGGAAAAACATTCATAGAGCAGTAGATTTCCCCTAAATCTATCTATTCAATGTCAAGTGTTCTACACCAGTAATTTCTTGGGAAGGATTAGTAAGAGGCTGAAGTCCTAAAATGGTTAACTCCGAAGAAAGTAAGCATGATTTTTCCAACCAATGCTAACTTCTAGGATTTGACAAAGGGAAACTTCTCCTTGTGATGAGTGCATAAACAGATGAAAGAAACAAAGAAAAAGATGAAAGAAGCATCTTTCTTTACTCCTATTTTTCTCGCTTCTTAGATGTATTCTGTTATTGAGTATTTAATACTAGAATAGTAGAAGAAGACCACTATAGTACACTTGCTCAGGGGGAGTTTCTAAAAACATTTAAATAGTGAGATGTACTTTACAGAAAACCTCAATCTAGAAAAATATAAACAATACATTCTAAATACTCTCATCTGGAGAACTGTTGCCAAATCTTTACAATAGGGTTTGTTGCTGAGAAAAGAACTGCTTTTGTGAATTCAGTATACAATGACTTATTTATAGAATTGGGGGGATGGAAGTCGATGGTAAAGCACTATGCATTATGGGGGGAAAAAAGTTACCTGAACTCTTTGGAAATGCCATCTTTAAAAGCAACACAAACTGCATGAACTAGTTACAAAAGATGTACAGAAATGTAATCAGTTCTGCTATGAGCTTGGGGTCAGTAAAACCTAACTTGGTCAGGCTTGATTTTTTTCACTTTGTACAAGAATGAAGACATGCAGATAAAGAAATACTATATCTGACCAAACCCAGTATGTGTTAAAGCAATCCTTTTTTTCTTTATCCACATGCTGTCTCAATTTCCCCATTTTATTGGAGCATTCCCAAACCAAGTTCTCTTGGTTATGTCAATTAATTTCAAAGCAGAGAGGCTAGCATAAATCTGACATTTCTAGACTCCATAGCTTTCAATTGCCTATTTTGAAGAAAATGAAAAGTGGTTTGTTCACTTGCTTAGTAGCTTTAAAAACAAACACAAAGGTTTCATGCTGCCATAGTTTTATTTTCAAGAACAATACTTGTGAAAGGCAAGTAAGTAACTGGATAACAAAAGTAGGGTAGGGAAATATAAAAGAAAACAAAAATAGACACAATTTCATACAAGAAATATATTAAGAAATGGAGAAAAACCATCCTATTTTCCACATAAATTAAAGTCCTAAAGCTAACCTCAAAAGTTTTCCTTTTGTCCTGATTTTACTCTTTCAATCCACTCCAGGAACGCAGAGTACTCACCTCCCCCTGCATGGTTAATAAATGGTACTTGATTTCAAAGAGCTTTAGAAGGTGGCATTCTTTGGCCACCTACTCATTTCAGGTGCACCCCATCATTTAAATATTCCAAAGAACTTCCTATGTAGCTAACTGTGCAGTATAACAACATCTTTTTATGCCTGTTTTAGGTGATGAAGGCAACAGAAGCTTTAGTTCATGGGGCACTGTAGATCTCATCTCGCTCTAAGGAACTGATAACTGTTCAGTGTAATTTACCCAATATTTAGAATTACTAACCTGTTTCTATACTGACCTTTGCTTTTGGTCCCAGTGAAAGATAAGCCGTATTGTAGCAGCATGTCCCCAACTTTCCCCTGAGGGAAAAAGAACAGGATAACTGACTAGATTCTAAGTCTCTCAGAACGCCTCTGACCAAAAACAGTTTTACTTTACTCAATTTAACATAATGGAAGTATATTTGGTTTCAAAAAACCAGGTAAAGGCTAACATCCTGAAATTAATAGATTTTTACCTATCTGTGGAAATACTGCAGAGCATTGTCACTACCCTCCACCTGCTTTCAGAAAACTTTATTGAGTCAATCTATTTGTCAATCTTCCTTATCAACAGGCTTACTGACATATTTTGACCACCATAAGAAAAGCAAAACCTCTGACAGAATATTCTTAAAGATTTTAGTATAAATAAATCTTGAAGCACTGTGTCCTAATAAAACCAAGAGTAAGGTTAGAAACAGAGTTATAACCTTATTTGTTACAGTGTGATTTGTATTTAAATGGATTCACCTCTTCTCCTGCTTAAGAGTGTGTGATTTCTTAAGAAATCACAAATAAGAGAACAAGAATCATCTTATGAATATTTATACACTATGGACCTGACACAAGAATTGCCAGAGAGTAGATGCTCAAAAAATGTTAAACAATTGAAAGGATGAGTCAGTATCTCAGGGCACTGTGTTCCACACTAAGATTTATCAGCAAATAAGAGACAGTCTTCTCTGCTTTCATGGAACTTACAATACCTAACAAGCATCAAACCAAAGAGGTAGAAAAAAATGTAACTACAAATGTTGGATTAATTGCCTACCCAGTGCAGGAACCAGCAAGGCCTGATTTCTATCAAACTTTGTTGTCATCTGATTGGTTAAAATTACCTACAAAAGCAAAATGTGAGAAAATTAGGTGAGTCTCCCTCCAAAACTACAAGGTCTAAAGACACCATGTGTAAAAACTTAATAACTAGGAGCACTGGAAACAAGGGAATCTGTATTCTTTACCACTATTGCCTCTCTAGAATATATTTATTCAAAGGAATATAAAATCATTAAATCTCTGGCAGTTCAGTAGTTAAGACTCTGTGCTTTCAATGCAGTTTGGCCACGGGTTTGATCCTTGGTGGGGGAACTAAGATCCCACATGCTGCGTGGTGTGGCCAAATTAAAAAATAAAATCCTTAATAAAATTAACTCAGTGTTTATACTGTTAGGGGAGAGACAATATTACCATTCATGATTTTACAGGAAAAATAGCAAACTGAGGCAAAGAATGAGAGGAGACCTAAAATCATATAGAGAGCACAGAATAATTAAGAGAACTAGGAAAGAATAAAATCCAGTAACAGATCAAATGACTCCAAATTATAACTATACTAGACTGTTCAGATAATACAGATACAGGTATTGTCTTACTCACAGATGGCCTCAAGGCTAACAATATTCTTAACTCTTTGGATGGACAAGGAGTCATGGCGTGCTGTGATTCATGGGGTCGCAAAGAGTGGGACACGACTGAGCGACTGAACTGAACTGAACTGAACTTACATATAGTGGCCTACAGAAAAGATAATATATTTAAAAAGATAGCAATCTTATTTATTTATTTATTTATTTTTTGGCTGCACCACATAGCATGTAGGATCTTAGTTCCCCAACCAGGGATCAAATCTGTGCCCCCTGCAGTGGAATCTCAATTCTTAACCAATGGACTACCAGGGAAGTCCCACAAGATAGCAATTTGAAAGCAGAGACAAAAAGTGTTTAAGGCTAACTGAACACAGTAAAAGTCAGATTGTCTGGCACCTTCTCATCCAAAATTCTCCAGAAACGGTTATTTTAAATATTGTTCCAATATACAGCTTCTCTCCAGAAATAAGACAGATACTACTGCAAGCTGAAACTGGTAAAGAACTTTTAAAAAAGCAATGAGAAAAGATCTAAAAAATCCACCAATTCTTTAAGAAAACTGAGGAAGAAAAGGCTATTTGGCTTTTCCCACCATAGTGATCAACACCCTAAAGTTTTCATCTACAAAGGAGAAATCTGTGATCTAGATCTCAGTCAGGCACAAAATGGATGACAGCACCATCCTCTAGTCTCCTCTGAAGGCCACAGTGGTCTTCCATGTGTTACCTTACGCCAGGTATTTCAGAACAAGCTAAGCAGGAATTTAAATTGGTAATTAACTGAAATATATGTCTAACTGGCATCTACAACACGTTGAATAATACTCTTTGCATACTGCTGCTGCTGCTAAGTCGCTTCAGTCATGTCCGACTCTGTGTGACCCAAAGACGGCAGCCCACCAGGCTCCCCCGTCCCTGGGATTCTCCAGGCAAGAACACTGGAGTGGGTTGTCATTTCCTTCTCCAATGCAGGAAAGTGAAAAGTGAAAGTGAAGTCACTCAGTCATGTCTGACTCCTAGCGACCCCATGGACCGCAGCCCGCCAGGCTCCTCCGTCCATGGGATTTTCCAGGCAAGAGTACTGGAGTGGGGTGCCATTACCTTCTCTGTCTTTACATACTACCAAGTGTTTAATCTTTAGCAAGTGGGATATTTACTTACACCAACACCTTTTTTTTTTTTTTTTTTTTTATTTATTTTTTTATCACAACCATAGTGTACCTTTTTTTTTTTTTTTTACATGTATTCCCCATCCCGGTCCCCCCTCCCACCTCCCTCTCCACCCAATCCCTCTGGGTCTTCCCAGTGCACCAGGCCCGAGCACTTGTCTCATGCACCCAACCTGGGCTGGTGAACTGTTTCACCCTAGATAATATACATGTTTCAATGCTGTTCTCTTGAAACATCCCACCCTCGCCTTCTCCCAGAGTCCACAAGTCTGTTCTATACATAGGAGTCTCTTTTTCTGTTTTGCACATAGGGTTATCGTTACCATCTTTCTAAATTCCATATATATGTGTTAGTATACTGTAATGGTCTTTATCTTTCTGGCTTACTTCGCTCTGTATAATGGGCTCCAGTTTCATTCATCTCATTAGAACTGATTCAAATGAATTCTTTTTAATGGCTGAGTAATATTCCATGGTGTATATGTACCACAGCTTCCTCATCCATTGGTCTGCTGATGGGCATCTAGGTTGCTTCCATGTCCTGGCTATTATAAACAGTGCTGCGATGAACATTGGGGTACACGTGTCTCTTTCACATCTGGTTTCCTCTACACCAACACCTTTTGATTAAAAGTGCACTATTCAATTCTGCAGCCATTAGCCATATAGCTTTTAAAAACTAATTAAAACTAGAAATTCAGTTCTTCCACAGCATTAGCCACATTTGAAGTGCTCAACAACCATGCAACTATTTTATCAGACTGAACATTTTCATCTTTTTTTTAAATTTTTTTTATTTTTTTCATTTATTTTTATTAGTTGGAGGCTAATTACTTTACATCATTGCAGTGGTTTTTGTCATACATTGAAATGAATTAGCCATGGATTTACATGTATTCCCCATCCCGGTCCCCCCTCCCACCTCCCTCTCCACCCGATCCCTCTGGGTCTTCCCAGTGCACCAGGCCCGAGCACTTGTCTCATGCACCCAACCTGGGCTGCTGATCTGTTTCACCCTAGATAATATACGTGTTTCGATGCTGTTCTCTTGAAACATCCCACCCTCGCCTTCTCCCAGAGTCCACAAGTCTGTTCTATACATCGGAGTCTCTTTTTCTGTTTTGCATATAGGGTTATCGTTACCATCTTTCTAAATTCCATATATATGTGTTAGTATACTGTAATGGTCTTTATCTTTCTGGCTTACTTCGCTCTGTATAATGGGCTCCAGTTTCATCCATCTCATTAGAACTGATTCAAAAGAATTCTTTTTAATGGCTGAGTAATATTCCATGGTGTATATGTACCACAGCTTCCTCATCCATTGGTCTGCTGATGGGCATCTAGGTTGCTTCCATGTCCTGGCTATTATCAACAGTGCTGCGATGAACATTGGGGTGCACGTGTCTCTTTCAGATCTGGTTTCCTCGGTGTGTATGCCCAGAAGTGGGATTGCTGGGTCATATGGCAGTTCTATTTCCAGCTTTTTAAGAAATCTCCACACTGTTTTCCATAGTGGCTGTACTAATTTGCATTCCCACCAACAGTGTAAGAGGGTTCCCTTTTCTCCCCACCCTCTCCAGCATTTATTGCTTGTAGACTTTTGGATAGCAGCCATCCTGACTGGTGTGTAATGGTACCTCATTGTGGTTTTGATTTGCATTTCTCTGATAATGAGTGATGTTGAGCATCTTTTCATGTGTTTGTTAGCCATCTGTATGTCTTCCTTGGAGAAATGTCTGTTCAGTTCTTTGGCCCATTTTTTGATTGGGTCATTTATTAAAAATATGGAACGCTTCACGAATTTGCGTGTCATCCTTGCGCAGGGGCCATGCTAATATTCTCTGTATCGTTCCAATTTTAGTATATGTGCTGCCGAAGAGAGCACTGAACATTTTCATCTTTACAGAAAGTTCTGTCAGACAACATTGCTTTACAGACTGTCACACATTTTACACATTATCTACTACACACCTTGAGGCAAATGTAAAGAGACATACTGGCTTACCAGTTGTTCAACATCCCAAAATCAGAATTTGCATCACTAGAAAATATTTATAAAATAATTAATACTCCTTCTGCAAAAATGTTGGGTTTACCATGATATAAATGAAAGTTATTGTGTAATTACTCCAAGCTCTTAAAGAATGAGTCCTAGGACCTCCCTGGTGGACTAGTGGTCAGGATTCTGGGCTTTCCTGCAAACTGTGAAGGATGGTGCAAAAAAAAAAAAAAGGCATTTTAAAGTAGTGAAGTAATAATAACTTTGAAATTATGAACTTCAGAGCTTTAAGAATACTTCTGCTGTCCAAATGTCCTTAAATGAATAAACAAAATGCGATATACAAATAAAATGCAAAATTATTCAGTCACAAAAAGCATACTGGTATGTGCTACAACATGGATGAACCTTGAAAATATTATGCTAAGTGAAAGAAGCCAGACATAAAAGACCACATACTGTATGAAATTTATATAAAGTATCCAAAGAAGACAAATCCATAGAAACAGAAAGCAGACTAGTGGTTGTTAGTGGCTACAGGGAGGGTGCAATGGGGAATGATGGTGAATGGGTATGAAAGTTCTTTTGGGGGTGATAGAAATGTTCTAAAATTAGATAGCTGTGATGGTTGCACAGCTCTGAATATACCAAAATGCACTGAGCTACACTTTAAAAGGGTGAATTTTATAGTATATTAACTATATCTAATAGGGCTATTAAATTTTTTTCTGCTAATAAATAAAACATATCTCTAAAAGGTGAACTATACCTCAAGAAAAAAAGTCTATCTTATATTTTAGCCACACACAAAAAGAAGGAATAACTGGAATCTAATCAGGAGGAAACATCACAGAATCCCAAAATACAGAGATATTCTCTGAAAGTACTGGCTTATATTCTTAAAACATAGCAGTGGCACAAAAGTTAAAAGCAAATGTGATTCCTGCTGGCAAAATGAACTGGGGAAAAAATTGCTATGAAGGACATCATTGTGATAAGTGATAAAACTAAAATATGGATTAAATATTAAAGTTCAATACAATATTAAATGTCCTAAATTTGATAACTATACTCTGGATACCATATGAGACTATTCTCATTCTTAGGAAATATATACTGAAGTATTATTAGACAAATGGATATATGTGAAATTCTTTTTAAACACTTAAGAAAAATATACACATAAACTGTGTGTGTGTGTGTGTGTACGTACAGAAAGAGAGTGGGGAGAGAGAATAAGAAGGAAAAAGCAAATCTTGGGAAATGTTATATGGGAATTCTTTATACTATCCAAATCAGCAAAATAAATTTTATCTTTTCTCCACTGAACTATAAACAACAACAACAAAAAGAATTCCCATTCATTGATGTACAGAACATACTTTGGAATACACTTTCTGAGAGCAATTTGTTAATACATAACAAAAGGTTTAAAAATAGAGATATCCCTTTTGGCTTAAAATTTTCAGAAGTAATTGGACATATGGACAAGGAAGCATATATAAAGTTGTTGACTCTAAACAATGGGTGACATTTCATAATGTTGTTTAGACTACTCTTTTTTTTTTGCGGTGGTGGTGGGGGGAGCTGCACTTTACAGCTGGTGGCACCTCAGTAACCTGACCAAGGACTGAACCTCAGCCACGGCAATGAAAGCCTGGAATCCTAACCACTAAGCCACCAGGGAACTCCCTAGATTACTTTTTTAATCAGCAAAGATGAAGCTCTCTCTGTTAAAAAACAAAAGCAAAAACCTAAGGAACTATACAACCCATTATCCTTGAGTGCCCCCTACTGGGGACTCTTCACTGATACTAACACAATGCTAAATCACCAATCAGGCTTCCCAGGTAGCTCAAGGGGTGAAGAATCTGCCTGCCAATGCAGGAGACTAGTTTGATCCCTGGGTTGGGAAGATCCCCTGAAGGTGGAAATGGCAACCCACTCCAGTATTCTTGCCTAAAAAAAAATTCCTTGGAAAGAGGAGCCTGCCTGGTAGGCTATAGTTTATGGGGTCACAAAGAGCTGGACACGACTGAACGTGCAAGAAATTACAAACTAATGACAAGAAATAATTCAAGGCAGGATACCATGTTTTCAGCATATGCAAAGAAAAAAAAATTAAAAACTCAACAGAAAAAAATGTACGCTTTGAAGTGATTTTATTGAGGAGTTATTTACTACTTTGTGCGAAGGATTCTAATTGTAACTAGTTTGACCTCCCATCTCCCTCCTAGACAAGCATGTATGTGTGTGTCAGTGGTGGGATGAAGCTGCAGAGAGGGAAGCGCAAACAGGCAGTTAAAAAAGTTTTCACCTCACTCCTTTTTTAGCTCTTTGGAGCTTATCTTTACCGCTCTCCTCACATTACATATCTGGAACAGTTAGCTCCACCTCTAAATATCTAGGTTGTTTACACAATTTTTCTACCCATCGGAGTGTGTGATTCTACATTATGTATTAATCAAAGACTCAAGAATAAAAGAAAAATGGCAATGTTGGAAGAGCTTACCTGAGAAACATCAAGTATATTACAAAGAAAACAATGTAATTATCAAAGCTAGCATTTCTTTATCAAACAAAGTCCTTTTTATAATTCAGCATCTTGGCTATGCTTTTTTCTTTCCAGAAAAACTGATATACAACACTCCGACTAGATTTCATTTGCTTTATAGAAACCAAACTGAAACAAAACTACATTCACAATTGTACACTGGGGCTTCCCTGGTGCTCCAGTGATTAAGAATCCACCTGTCAATGCAGGGGATACACATTCAACCCCTAGTTTGGGAAGATTCCATATGCTACATGGTAAGTAAGCCAAAACTACCCAGCCAGCGCTCCAGAGCCTGCAAGCCACAACTACTGAAGCTCACGCACTTACAGCCTGTGCTCTGCAACAAGAGAAGTCACCACAATAACAAGCCCTCACACTACAGTGAAAAGTACCCCTGCGTGCTGCAACTAGAAAAAGCCCACGTGCAGCAACAAAGACAGCCAAAATAATAATTAAAAAAAAAAAAGAACTGTATGTCCATATTATTTGCTTTCAGTCAGACAAATTTTATAGTTTGCTATTTCTAGGCTTTAACATTTAATTTTTGTTTATTTTAGGCATACTGCACAACATGCAGGATCTTAGTTCCCTGACCAGGGATCAAACCTGTGCCCCCTGCACCAGAAAAGTAGAATCCTAACCACTGAACCACCAGGGAATTCCTTACACTTCAACATTTTATAAAATCGTGACTTTATAACAAAACTCCCTTTACTAATAATAATACTTACAGCTAATCTGTGGTTGTTTGCAAGGCTGATCATCTGCTGGGCTAGGCCATTTAATAATCGAGTACGAAGGGACAGGTCATCTAGGTCATGACGAAAAGGAAAAGCGATACCATCCACTATCACTAATCGAACCTAATTACAAAAGAGATAATGATATTACGTTTGGTATTTAAAATAAAATAATAAAAAAATAAAAATAAAATAAAATAAAATAATAAATGGCAACCACAAAGCAGAGTCCATTACAGGAAAAAAGAAACAAAATTTTAAAATCCAGCGTTCTATTTCCTACTCTTCAAAAACTTTAATTTGCTCAGGTAGAAAACTATTCAGTGCTTTCTACACTAGTCACCAGAAGTTAGACTATACTCTAGTTCAATAATTTCTCATCTTGAATAAATAATTCAAAAAAATAATTATTCAATAAAAAGAAGCAATTACAATTTTCTCATAATTTGCCACTATACCCAGTCTTCACAGAGGTGGACAAATAAAAAACACTTAGTAAAATCAATTTTTCAATTAATGTCAATTTTATCTTCAGGATTCTTTTTATGTTAAAAACAAAGCAAAAAAACCCCTCTCAAATATTAAAGTATAAAAGTTTTTTTCAAAAGCTTAATTTTTGGTATATTTTTCTTTAATTTGGAATACACTACAGGGCAACTAACCATTACAGAATTCAGCAAGAGGCAAGTTTGTTTTGAATTCTCACCAACAAAGTTTACTTACAGATAATAAATAAATATTTTCACGACAGTTTCATTTCTAATAGAATCTAAATAATGGCTCCTATGGTGAAGTTAGAATAATATATAACCTAAGATCCAAGAACAAACAGAGTCTGGAAAATAATCCAATTGTAAACAAAATATGACAAATTATATATTTTTATAAGAACTAGACAAAAGGAGAAACTTTTGTGAAGCACTGTCTTAGTAAGCTGTTTTTATATCTTTCATTCATTACTTCACTCAACAAGTATTTGACACCTACTGTATGCTAGTCACTGTTCCATGCACTGGGGAACAAGAAACAAGATTCTTGATCTTTTGCAGCTTATGTTCTAGTGGAGTAAAGGACAATTTATATGTGAACAAATACATGAACAATTTCTTTTTTTAAACTCAATAGATCACAAGTTTATTATAAAAGGATATAACTCAGCATCATATGATCCAGCAATCCCACTCCTGAGCATGTATCTGGAGAAAACTGTAATTCAAAAGACACATGCATCCCAATATTCACAGCAGCACTATTCACAGTGCGTGCTCAGCCACTTCAGTCGTGTCTGACTCTCTGGGACCCCATGGACCATGGCCCGCCAGGCTCCTCTGTCCATGGGATTCTCCAGGCAAGAACACTGGAGTGGGTTGCCATTTCCTTCTCCAGAGATAAAGTACAAAGTGAGTGAAGTGAAGTCGCTCAATTGTGTCCGACTCTTTGTGACCCTATGGACTGTAGCCTACCAGGCTCCTCCGTGCATGGGATTTTCCAGGCAAGAGTACTGGAGTGGGTTGCCATTTCCTTCTCCAACTATTCACAGTAGCCAGGACAAGAAAGCAACATAAATGTTCATCAACAGATGAGTAGATAAAGAAATTGTGGAGTATATATATCCGTGTATAATATATACACATATACATTCAATGGAATACTACTCAGCCATAAAAAAGAATGAAATAATGCCATGTACAGCAATATGGATGGAACTAGAAGTTATCATGTAAGTGAAGTAAGTCAGAAAAAAACAAATATAATATGGTAACACTTATATGTATGATCTAAAACATGACACAAACCAACTTATTTACAAAATAGAAACAGACTCACATAGAAAAAAACATGGTTACTAAGGGGGAAAGTAGTGGAGGGATAAATCAGGAGTATGGGATTAGCAGATACAAACTACTATATACAGAAATATTTAAACAACAAGGTCTGACTGTATAGCACAGGGAATTATATTTACTATCCTGTAATAAACCATAAACAATAAACTGTGGAAAATTCTGAAAGAGATGGGAATACCAGACCACCTGACCTGCCTCTTGAGAAACCTGTATGCAGGTCAGGAAGCAACAGCTAGAACTGGACATGGAACAACAGACTGGTTCCAAATAGGAAAAGGAGTACATCAAGGCTGTATATTGCTACCCTGCTTATTTAACTTCTATGCAGAGTACATCATGGGAAATGCTGGGCTGGAAGAAGGACAAGCTGGAATCAAGATTGCCGGGAGAAATATCAATAACCTCAGATACGCAGATGACACCAACATTATGGCAGAAAGTGAAGAGGAACTAAAAAGCCTCTTGATGAAAGTGAAAGAAGAGAGTGAAAAAGTTGGCTTAAAGCTCAACATTCAGAAAACTAAGATTATGGCATCCAGTCCCATCACTTCATGGCAAACAGATGGGGAAACAGTGGCTGACTTTATTCTTTTGGGCTCCAAAATTACTGCAGATGGTGACTGCAGCCATGAAATTAAAAGATGCTTACTCCTTGGAAGGAAAGTTATGACCACCCTAGACAGCATACTAAAAAGCAGAGACATTACTTGGTCAACAAAGGTTTGTCTAGTCAAAGCTATGGTTTTTCCAGTAGTCATGTATGGATGTGAGAGTTGGACTATAAAGAAAGCTGAGCACCGAAAAATTGATGCTTTTGAACTGTGATGTTGGAGAAAACTCTTGAGAGTCCCTTGGACTGCAAGGAGATTCAACCAATCCATCCTAAAGGAGATCAGTCCTGATTGTTCACTGGAAGGACTGATGTTGAAGCTGAAACTCTAATACTTTAGTCACCTGATGCAAAGAATTGACTCATTTGAAAAGACCCTGATGCTGGGAAAGATTAAGGGCAGGAGGAGAAGGGGACGACAGAGGATGAGATGGTTGGATGGCATCAATGACTCAATGGGCATCAGTTTGGGTAAACTCCGGGAGTTGGTGATGGACAGCGAGGCCTGGTGTGTTGTGGTTCATGGGGTCACAAAGAGTTGGACACGACTGAGTGACTGAACTGAACTGAATAAACCATAATGGTAAAGAATATGAAAGAGAGTATGTATATATACATATAACTGAATCACTTTGCCGTACACCAGAAAGCTAACACAACACTGTAAATCAACTATGTGTCAATTAGAAAAAAAATAAAGGACATAATTCAGGAATAGCCAGATGGAAGAGATGCATAGAGAAGGTATGGGGAAGGGACACGGAGCTTCCACGTTCTCTCCCAGAGCCATTCTCCTAGCACTTCCACAGGTTCACCAACTCAGAAGTTCTGAATAAGATAATTTATGATAATGATACGGGCTATAAATAAATTCAAACCAGGTGAAATGACAAATAAGTAGGTGGTGGGTAGAGGGAAACTTAGACTAGACGTGAGGGAGCCATCAATAAGAAGGCAGGTAATAGAACTGACTCCTGGTGGAGAAGGAAATGGCAACCCACTCCAGTACTCTTGCCTGGAGAATCCCTTGGACAGAGGAGCCTGGTGGGCTACAGTCCACGGGGTCGCAGAGTCAAACACGACTGAGTGACTGACGCACTAAATTGAGGAGATACTTGATGGTGCAAGGATACACTTTCTCTACTCTCCCATCTCCTGCAGGAAGCAGGATAGGGCAGGCAGCACCTGGAAGGCAGGATGGCTCCCCCCACCCCCACCCCTTCTGGAAGTCTTGGGGCCTCTGTGCCTGCAATAGCTGGCCTTGGGCAAATAAAAGACTAAATTGTTCAAAAAATAAATAAACATATAAATAAAAAAAAAAGAACTGACTCCTGGATAAGAACCTCTAGGAGAGAAAGACAACTCACGTATATTACGAACAGGAAGGTCAAAGGCCCTAAGACTCAAACAGGTTTGGCATGTTTAAAGGATCAGAAAAAAAGTAGTGAGGAGGAGCGATAGGAAATGACAGAAAGGAACAGTGGTGTGCTGAGGCCAAATGCTACGGCTCTTAAAGCAAGAGCTAAATTTTTAGAAGTTTTACCAATCCATCATCAACTATGGTCATCAGTAACAAATAAACTATATAAATTTATGAGTAAATGAACTATATTAAAATATGGATAATAAATACTGAAAACTCACCCCTACTACATTTTACTATTATCTATGCTCTTAAGGTTATTTACATCTATTTTACCTTTTCTTTTTTTTTTCTATTTTACCTTTATAGTGGAAACACTACATAACGATGTGCACGGTTTCTTTTCTACTCCACGTCCAATGACATACTTGAAATCAGCTATGATAGGAGTATTTTCTACATGGAAATCAGCAAGCAAATAAGCTACAGATCGAGTTGATTTGTTTTGCTGTCTAGACTTCTAATAAAGTGATGGAAAAAAATGTCATAACCAGATTGATCTTAAAAATGTGTCCGTGGGGAACAGACTAGTGGTTGCCAGTGGGGAGCAGGATGAGGGAGGGATGGTCTGGAAGTCTGAGATTGGCAGATGCAAACTATCAACATTATACGTAAGATGTATAAACAACAAGGTCCTATTGTATAGCACAGGGAACTATATACAATATGCTTTGATAAATCATAATGGAAAAGAATATGAGAAGAATATGTATAAGTGAATCACTGCAGTATAGCAGAAATGAACACATTATAAATCAACCATATGTCAAAACTTTTAAAAAATTATTGAGCCTATATCTATTACATTGCGAACTACACAATAAATTGAGGAAATATGCTACTACTTTTGGAAAATGAATTCAATAACTAGGAGTGATCATTAAATCAAAAGAAGGAAAAACCTGCACAGGAAAATACTATATAATTACATGTTTTTGTTCTAGGGTATTTGCAAGGAGTCCCAAATACCAAGAGCATCCAAGGACCTCTCTGCTCAAATCAGAGTAGCTACATATCCTAATCTATAATGGAAAAATAGAAATAAGTCTATTTTCCTCTCCACAGTACAGATTTTATTGAAACTGGCTGAATTACAAAAATCTGGACCTTCTGCTAAGTAGTAACTGTCACACTGATGACTTTTCTCCTACAAGTTTAGAGAGCAAGTTCCTGAATATACTCTGGTGAGTTTCCTTGATCTCTCAAAAGGGAGATTATACTGAATAATGGAAAGTCAATGAATGACAGAGTTTGAGAGGGTAGGATAAAACAAGCATTGTCAAAAAACAAAAAAACCCCAAGCATTGTCATTCAACTCAAGCTGTCATTCAATAGCTGAAATTAAAGTTACCAATGTGAATTTCTATTTTTTGGCCTCACCCTTGTTGCTTGTGGAATCTTAGCTTCCAAACCAGGGATTGAATCTTAGCTTTCTTAGCAGTGAAAGGGCAGAGCCCTGACCACTGAACTGCCAGGGAATTCCCCAGAGAATAATTTATACACAGAAATAAATGGTAACTAGAGCTTATCAATGAATGTGGTTAACCTGCAAGGTAAGAGATTAATACACAGAAATCTGCTGCATTTCCATACACTAACAACAAAAGATCAGAAAGAGAAACTAAAGAAATAATCCCATTTGCTGTCTCATCAAAAGAATAAAATACATAATAATAAACCTACCTAACGAGGCAAAAGATGTGTACGCCAAAAACTATAAAACGCTAATGAAAGAAACTGAAGATTACACAGAAGGAAAAATATATCATGTTCTTAGACTGGAAAAATCAATATTGTCAAATGACTATATCCAAGGTAATCTACAGATTCAATGCAATTCTGATTAAATTACCAAGGGCATTTTTCACAGATCTAGAAGAGAAAAAATTTTAATTTGTAAGGAAACACAGAGGAATCAGTCTCCATAACTTCTGACTCTACTATAATGGTACAGTAATCAAAAGTGTGTGGTGCAAACACAAAGACAGACTTATAGATCAACGGAACAGGACAGAAAGCTCAGAAATAAACCCATGCACCTACAACCAATTAATCTACCATAAAGGAGGCAAGAATATTCAATGAAGAAAAGACAGTCTCTTCAATAAGTGGTGCTGGGAAAAGTTGGACAGTCACATGTAAAAGAATGAAATCAGAACATTCTCTAACACTCTACACAAAAATAAACTCAAAATGGATTAAAGATCTAAATGTAAGACCAGATGCTATAAAACACTTAGAGGAAAGCACAGGCAGAACACTCTTTGCCATGAATTGCAGCAATATCTTTTTGGATCATTATACTTCCTAGAGTAATGAAAATAAAAATAAACAAATGGGACCTAATTAAACTTAAAAGTTTCTGTATGGCAAAAGAAACAATAAACAAAACGAAAAGACAACCCACAGAATGGTAGGAAATACTTGCAAACGATGTGACCAAAATATATTTATCTTCAAAATATACTAACAGCTCATGCAGTTCAATATCAAAAAAACAAAGCAATCAAAAAATGGGCAGAAGATCTAAGTAGAAATTTCTCCAAAGAGAACATAAAGATGGCCAAAAAGCACATGAAAATATGCCAATTACTAGAGAAATGTATATCAAAACTTCAATGAGGTAATCACCTCACACTGGTCAGAATGGTTATTATCAAAGTCTAGGAAAAATAAATGTTGAGGAGATGTAGAGAAAAAGGAATCCTCCTACATTGTTGATGGGAATGTAAATTCTCATTCTAAACCAATATCCTAAACTTGTACTCTAAAGAACTAGAAAAAGAACAGCAAACTAACCCCAACGAAAGTAGAAGAAAGTGATACACATTAAAGTGGAAATAATCAAAACAGACAAAAGAGAAACAATTGGAAAAATCACTGAAATCAAAAGCTGATTCTTTGAAAAGATCAACAAAATTGACAAGCCTTTAACTAAAATGACTAAGAAAAAAAGAGAAGATGCAAACCACTCCAATCAGGAAAGAAAATAGGGACATTACTACCAACCTTATAAAATAACAATTAAAGAGAATATAGTGAACAACTGCATGCCAAAAAATTAGATAACCTAGATGAAATGGACAAATTCACTGACAGAAACAAACCACTAAAACTTTACTAAAGAAACAGAAGATCTGAACAGATTGACAATAAGTATAAAGAGATTGGAAAGCGATAGTAGCTCAGTGGTGTCCAACTCTTTACAACCCTATGGAGTCTAGCCCAGCAGGCTCCTCTGTCCATGGAATTCTCCAGGTGAGAATGCTGGAGTGGGTAGCCATTCCCTCCTCCAGGGGATCTTCCCAACCCAAGGATCAAACCTGGGTCTTCTCCACTGCAGGCAGATTCTTTACCATCTGAGTGACTTGGGTAGCCCAAAAGAGACTGAATCAGTAATCAAAAGCCTTTCAATAAAGAAAAGAGCAGGAACAGATAGCTTCATCAATGAATTCTATACAATGTTTAAAGAATGTATACCAATCCTTTTCAAACTACTCTGAAAAGCAGAGAAGGAAACTTTCTAACTCATTTTATGAAACCAGTATTACACTGATACCAAAGCCACAAAAAGACATCCCCAGCAAAGAAAACCAGAGACCAGTGACAGACACAAAAATCCTCAATAAAATACTTAGCAAACTCAGTCCTTTAGTATACTGAAAGGATTATACACCATGATCAAGCGAGATTTATCCTTAGGAGTACAAAGGTAGTAGAATATGAAAATCAATCAATGAAACACACCAGATTAACAGCAATGGGGGGGGGGGGTAACCCACGTGATAGTCTCAATTGACTCAGAAAAAGCATTTGACAAAATCCAACACCTTTCATGATCAAAGCAATCAACAAATTAGGGATAAAAAAGCCTGATGAAGTTGGAGCCATACCTTTGAGTGTTCTGAAAGGAAGTCTGAAAGCAGATAAACTTGTGCCAGTAGTTCTGTGTAGTCACGACAACGAAAATAATAAATGTGGGAAAGAATATTTTCAAGAGTGAAATCCTGCAAAGCCTTTGGGTGCTCTGAAATAAGTAACAAAACAATCTTAAAATAATTAATTTTACCTGTCATTTCACAAACAATCATTTCAAAATTCCTGACCTCTTATTTTCACCTTTTCCACTGTTTCCTTACATATTATGCTATCCAGAAAATGTTTATACACATAAAGACCAGAGTTTTAACATCTACATTTTCGTATTTGTTACTGCTTCCATTGAAAAGAAGTATCATAATGGAATGTCTTTATTGTTTTTTTATAAGACTCCAAATTAAGAGTTAAAAGGAAAAATGTCCAAAAGAAGCATATTTTTCCCTTAAAAGTATAGCATAATTTTATATTTAAATATAAACAATGATATAAAATAAAATTCCCTCCTTAGATTGGATTTTTAAAAATAACCAGATTGGTTCTGTACATATTTCAGAGAGACACTAGCCAAAAATCACTGCATTTTAAAATGTACTTAAGTTTTAATACTGAAATAAAAAACAATAAATTAAATTTCAGAGAACAATATTACAAATATATATTTAAGAAATTCATTTTGAACCAAAAAGTTAACTTAATCACATACCAGTCATTAAGAACTATATTCCAGTGCTACATCCACAATATTTACAATAAGATCCTAAGACACTACTACAAATTACACCTGTGACATGGATAGCTTGATGGGCTTTCAGTAGACATATTGGTCACTGGTTAAAAAGGACACCTAGTACTCCAACGCAAGTAAAAATATCCAGCTGATTATATTCATTTAAAGGGAATACAAACATTTTATGAAAAATATTATGTTTTTTTAACATTTCTAGAGAAAAGAATAAGGACCACATATCCAAAAAATAAAATACAATAAACCAAAAGAAAACAGTCAAACCAGAAACCATGTAATTTTACGAGTACCTCCTTGGACTACAAGGAGATCAAACCAGTCAATCCTAAAGGAAATCAGTCCTGAATATTCATTGGAAGGACTGATACTGAAGCTGAAACTCCAATACTTTGGCTGCCTGATACTTTCCTGACTCACTGGAAAAGACCCTGATGCTGGGAAAGATTGAAGGCAGGAGGAGAAGGGGACGACAGAGGATGAGATGGTTGGATGGCATCACTGACTCCTTGCACATGAGTTTGAGCAAGCTCCAGGAGGAGGTGATGGTCAGGAAAGCCTGGTGTGCTGCAGTCCACGGAGTCGCAAAGACTCAGACACGACTGAGCAACTGAACTGTACTAAACTGAAGGACAAGAACTCGAATACAAATTACCTTTAAAAAAACTTTTAAGCAAATACTAAATTTCCACATAATAAGGACAAAACATCTTCCCAACACTTTAACAGTACAATTAATACAGTCGAAAGTCAATTACATACTACACAGAGCCAATGTAAGGTCAATTGGCTTAATGTTCCAAACATTTCCAGACATGATTTTTCAAGGTCACCCTTGGTTTTTAGAAAAACCAGTCAATTTTCCGGGCCGTGGAGCCAGGGCTGGTGCAAAAGTTCTCCCTGCGGGACTGCAGCCCTCGGCTCAGTGAGGAACTCTACCACCGCTGCCGCCTCAGCAACCTGGAGGGGCTGGGGGGCCGCGCGCAGCTGGCCATGGCCCTGTTCGAGCAGGAGCAGGCCAACAGCACCTAGCGTGCCCGGGGCCCCGCACCTCCACAGCGCCCCTGCCGGCCCCGCCCGGGAAGGCCAGGCAAGATGCACGGACAGATGGGAGAGCTCTCCGCTGTTGTTTTTTTTTTAATAAGAAAAATGTTATTAAAAGTGTCTTCTGCCAAAAAAAAAAAGAAAAACCAGTCAACATACACTGAATACATTGAGACAACCTTTACTTTATTGTGTCCAGCAACACTAGCTTACACCCAGCAGGCCAGAGCTTGATGTCACACACTGACATACACACAGGTTTCCTCCCAGAGCTCCTGCAGTAAAAAGTGAGGGCCATATAAGGTGAAGAGGAGGCAACTCCAGGTGCAGCATTTTCAATTTCTAAGAGAAGTATGAGTTTAATACTAGTACACAGTCAAGTTATTAAGTTTCATGTTCTAAGTAGTCTCTTTTTAAGGCTTAAAAGTAAAAGCCCCTCAATCCTGCCTGACTCTTTGCAAACCCATGGACTATACAGTCCATGGAATTTTCCAGGCCAGAATACTGGAGTGGGTAGCCTTTCCCTTCTCCAGGGGATCTTCCCAACCTAGGTCTCCCACATGGCAGGTATATTCTTTACCAGCTGAGCCACAAGGGAAGCCCTATTAAGGCTTGAGATGGATACAAATGCAAATTACTTTCATTATACTGAAAAAGAGCACTTGGCTAACTTACCTTCTCCCATATGTGTTCCTGCTATAAGCTGCAGGTGCTGAATGCAGGCAGTAGCAAGGTCTACCACTCTATCAACCATAAAACTCCCCTCTGTATCAATAAAAACTGCTTCACCTTCCACTCCTCCAAAACATTCTGGTATCTGCACATCTACTGCCAGCTGCATACTGTCAAGAGAAAGAACTGAAATGACCAAATTATTATCATAATCATCAAAGCAGTGCTGTTCAAACTCCAAATCACTAACCTTTAGATACCAGTAAATATTTTATAGGCATAAATATACTCTGCAAGGCAACAAAGATGGTTGACTCTCCATAGTTCCAAACATATGTCAATCAGTTGATGCATGGATTAGGGGGAGGGTGTACTTATAAAACCACAATTAAGGAGTCTTTAGTGGTTTTTTTAGGCTTCTGGGTACAGACCTCTTTCTTATTATAAGAAGTCTACTTTCAAACATTTGGCTTTCAAATATATTCTCAGGAGTTAATTCTATAATAAAGTAGAAGACTGCCTGTTTACCCCACTGACCACACTATATTGTTGCAAAAGAAACCCTTTCTAATATCAAAATAATTGTATCAATTTATCAAGATGGGGTGAAGTAAGGCAAATACTGGTTTGTTTGATGCACACATACACAAAATTAAGAGCACATATATGCTGGGCTTCCCTGGTGGCTCAGTGTTAAAGAATCCGGCTGCTAATGCAGGAGACGCAGGTTTGATCCCTGGTCGGGGAAGATCCCACATGCCGCTGAGCAGCTAAGCCCGTGCACCACACTATTGAGCCTGCACTCTACAGCCCGGGAACCACAACTACTGAAGCCCACACACCCAGAACCTGTGCTCCTCAATAAGAGAAGCCACTGCAATGAGCAGCCCATGCACTGCAACTAGACAGTAGCCCCTGCATGCCACAACTAGAGAAAAGTCCGAGCAGTAATGAAGACTCAGCACAGCCAAAAATAAAACAATTTCTTTAAAAGAGAACTTACCATAAAAAAAAAAAGAGAGCACATATATGCCTTTTCTGGTCTCCTAACTGTATACCCACTACACAATACTCTGCTATTTTCATAAAATGTTATTAAGCCCACCCTTAAGGGGAGAACATTTTACCATAGTTGTGTTTTTCCAACACCTGGTGCACCACAAATTTCTGTTGTTTTGGTTAAGGGTATTCCACCCCCAAGAATATTATCCAGTGCTGAACAGAAGGTAATTATGAAGTTCTGGGTATGCTCCTGTTCAAGAAGTTCCAGTGCTGTACACTTCCTGCCTGACTCAGCTGTAACAGAATAACTTGTTTTATTTGTAAGACATTCTCTTCTTATAATTTGCAGAGTTTCTAAGGCTTCCTCTTTAGATATCCCAACTTCTGAAAGAAACAGAGACAGGAACACTTGATTTTAGAGATTTAAAACAGTCTAATACACCATTGTCTATACTACTTTTAATTTTTAAATAACAAGAGCGATGCCAAGAGTAGAGAAACATAAAAATGTCATATTCAATTAACTATTTAATTTTTCAAGTTAATAAAGGCATTTATCTTTGTTTTCTTAGTCTTCACATACTTAAAAGATTAAGCTATTACCTCAGAAACAGAATTCAGAAACCTAAACCCCTAAAGCATTTCTGAGTACCTACAAGAGTATCTCAAAGGTAGAAATAAAAATGTACTTTTTCCCCCTTTTGGTCCTTTTATTATCTTTTTGTTCTTTTACTATCTCTCTGGGTCTTATGAAGCCATAATAAACTTGCTCTCATAAGGCAAACAAATTATTTTTTAGGAAACAATGAAAATGGACTTTTTACCTAAAACAAGATGCATATTTCAGAAGTGCATGTGTATTATTCATAGTGAAAATTTTTCAAGAAAAATTCATGGATCACTGCAAACTGTTTAATAAGGAAAATTATCTGATGCACAAATAGTTCAAAGAATACACTTATGCTTCCTCAACTACATGACTTCATTCCTGACAACACGGCCTGAAAATGGAAATTACAAAACGAGCAGCTCATAGAAGAAATAATTCTGAGGAGGGTATCACTTACGAGTGTGATATATCAGTGCCTAACTGATATATGAAGGATATGAACTAACAATCTAATGCTAATAAAAGACAAAAATGGTGGCCATTCTGGAGTGGTTAGGACTCTGCGCTCTCACTGCCAAGGGCAGGACTGAATCCCTAGTGGGATTCCACAAGCCCTGCGACCAAAAGAAAAAAAAAGAAAATAATGAAGCTAAAGAAGTGAAAGTTTCATACAATCTAAGAGCCTTAACTCTGGATTACTTAGGTCTGTCAATCCTGACTGCCCCACTCACTATGTAGTCACTATGCATAGGCAAGTTACTTTTTTATGCCTCACACTTTTCTTCTATGAAATGGAAATGAAATACACATAAAACCTTGGTAGAATGCGGAGGCCATCCAAAATGCTCAGTAATTGTTAGCTACTACGATCATTTAGATTTGCTCAGGTAAAAACCAACCTGTTGAGAGAAAATGAGCCCATCAAAGTTTGAGGGATACAGTCCTCGGTGTAATATTTAACGCAAACAGTAACACTGGATCTACAGCATTTGTTTTCGAGTGGAGAGTTATAACCTTATTTTCCATTGTAAGGGTAATGACTTAGAATTCTGTTCCATCTCAGTAACAGTTCTGAGAGTACTGCAGTGGAAGGTGCACAGTGAGTAGTGACAGCAGACAGTGTCACTTCCGTTTACCTCACGAGGCAGTGGTTCCCACCATTTATAATCTACAGGGTTCCGTAAAGTGAGGTTTGGGTTTTTCTCAGTGAATTACATGAAGAAAAGAGATATCTTTTTTCTACTGCTTTCTCCAGGTTCTGGTGATTCTACTCCCTTTCTCTTAATTTATCTCATCCTATTACGAATCATACATTCCTTAAATTGAATCCCCGCCCCTTGGATTTTGGAACAGTGAAAACAGACAGCCGGTCTGAATTCCAATCCTGGCTGCACGACTTCCTAGTCCGCTCATAATGAAGTTACTTAGCTTCCTCTAGCATCAGTTCCTTTCTATACATATTGGATATAATAACCCACGTTAAATGGGTTCTATTGAGTGTAAATGAGAGATTCCTCAGAACTTTCAGTGGGCACTGGCAGAGAAAGCAATTGGTCAATGTTTCCAAGACCACAGTTCTAACCATTCAAATCACTCTTAAGCGAAATCGAGGAGCTGTTTCGTAGTGTAAACGCGGCGGGAGGCGGCAGAAGACTCTGACCGAGATAGTGCTTAAGCCTGAAGACCGAACAGAGATGGAGGCGGCACCGATGGCGGCCAGCGTGCCTCAGCTTGTCGTCAGGAGTCGTTACCTTTGCTGAGCTCGGAGGGTTTCACCTCTAGGAGTTCCTCAGCAGTCTGGAAACCTGCAGACGCCAGCTTCACTCGCACAGCCGGGGACAGCGGCAAACTCACTAAATCCCGCTGCATTTCAAAGTCAAAGCACCTCCGCGCGCACTCGCGCGCTCCCAGAGCTCGCCGAGCCCGGACACCCGCGTCGGCCGCGCCCTGTGACGTCAGACGGAAGACGGAAGGGGAGGCGTCCGCGGCCTGACTGCACGCGGCCTCCGGCTCTGGGGCTCTGAGGAACTCGGATACACTTTGACTCACGTGGCCCGCTTCTTCCGTGATTCTTTCAACTCTCATTTAGAAATGATTGCACATCAATCGTATATCCTGACAGTAAAAAAAAAAAAAGTATGGAGCCCGCAGGATGCAAAAAGCCCAGGCTCAGTGGGTCTTACCACATTTCTTCACCTCTGCCCTGACCCTCTGGCTGGAGGCCTCAGCGTTGCTAGTAGGAATGATCTCTCCGAATGGAACTACGTACACACACACTTGCATGTTACCGGTTTGGGGTCTGGAACAATCGAATAAAGATTAGCCCTAGTCCAGGGTGCCACTGTTTTGGCCCTTCTTGCCGCTGTCCCCCCTTGCTAGGCCCCCTCACCTTTCCCGCCCTCGCCCTCGCCCTCGCGAGGGATTGTGGGCCAGCCCCCCAGAGCGGCGGGGCGCGCTCGCCTCACGATCCCAGCGCCCACCCACGGCTTCCCGCGAGTCAAGTCTGGAGCGTGGTGGTTTCTGAGACCGTTAGTTCTTCACAGCCCAACCAGAAGTAACTGGAAAAGTAAGCGAGTCTTGTCCCCCGAGTGGGCTGGACATGGGCTCCCGTGGTCGTGGAGAGGGAGGCGTCGGGTTACCCAAGAGCTCCTCTTCGGGTACAGAGGTTTGAAGGGACCGCTTACTAAAAGAGAAGTTTGAGGAAATTGAAAGGCGGGTTGGAAGGTGGCTTAGGAAGTCTTTCCTTGCCTAGGAGAGTATAATTTATTTAAAGGAGTAACTCATTCCTGTTAGAGAAAAATTCTTAGCCTTGACTTTTCTTCCTAACTTAAAGGAATTCCCTAAATGTTGCGAATCAGAGCCCTTTACGTACGGAAGATCTAAGGAAGGAAATGTGCTGACCACGTTAGCAGATCCTACGCATTTCCAATGCTCACAGCCATGCCGCGACGAAAATAGGACTGGGACGGACTCAGAGAGCATAGTTTTCTTCAAGCTAAAGTTAAGACCCAGTATCTTTTTTTCTTGCCGGAGCTACCTTCAAGTAGTGAGGTAGCTCTTGGAGTGGCGGTGGGGGGAAAATTCGAGAAGTATTTGTTCCTCATTTGGTAGGGCAGGGGAAGTCTGGTAGGACTAATCAAAATGCAGTTTATTTGCTACTCTACATTGCTTACCTTCTAGTATGATCCACATGTGGACATGCAGGGGGCATTACATAAATATTGTCCACTGGGAGAATTTGGGCTTATGCTTATCAAGTAACCAGAGTCCTGGGTGAAGAACAGATGGTGTTAACATATTCAGGGATAGCACTTGAAGTAGTTTGGTCAAATTCAGTGGAATCGGTTGTGTTTAGAATTTTCGGTAGCAGTGTGGAGTTAAGAAACCAGTCCACTCTGTAGCCATTCTGTTATTTATTATTATTATCTTATTCAGACCATTGAGTTGCTATAGTTATTGTTTTCATCCTCATTCTTAAGATTTCTTTAATGCAGTTTAATCTATAGTCAGGTTTTCAAACTGGTATCCTAAATTTTCCTGGAAGTATGTTATTATTTTCCATTGCGACATGGGGTTACTTGATCTTGAGAATATTGTTACGGTGGGATTTCCCTGGAGGTCCAGTTGTTGGGAATCCGGGATTCCACTGGGGCAGGGGGGAGAGGGTGGCGGGAGCATGGGTTGGTTCTCCCGTCAGGGGGAGGGGAAAAAAAGCAGTATTTTTATGAAAAAATCAAACTTGAGCTTTGGAGTCAAACAAATTTGGGTTTGTATCATATCTCAGGAAATTACCAACTGAGACTTTAAGCAAGTTGGTTTCCTCGCCTGCAAATGGAAATTAATAATGTTTCATGGGGTTGTAGGAAAGATTAACAAATATAAACTAACCTAGAAAAGGTACATAATCTTGTTTTTTCTCCATTTAAAAATATTCTAACATGTATACAATTGAATAAAGCCTTATTGAACACCTAGCTCAGCAGAGTACTAATGGTGTGAGCCTCAAAAAAAAAAAAAAATTCCTACAGTTGTAAAGTGCCAAAGAAAAGTGCTTTTACTTGTTTTATTTTATTTCACTTGATCCTTATTATAATCTTGTGAGCAGTTTACCAAGGCCTCCATTTAAAATTTACACGTTGAAGATTTGAATACTTAAGCAACATTAAACATTTAACCACTAGTTTTGTGCAGAATGACATGGCAAATAAGAGAGTCTGTGCCTTCCTGGAGCGTTGTGTTTTATTCCCTAAGACGTGTCCCACTCTTGCAACCTCATGGACTGTAGCCCATCAGGCTCCTCTGTCCATGGCATTTCCCAGGAAAAATACTGGAGTGGGTTGCCATTTCCTTCTCCAGGGGATCTTCCCAACCCAGGATTGAACCAGCATCTCCTGTGTTGGCAGGCAGGTTCTTTACCACTGAGCCACCAGGAAAGCACCATGGAGCCTTAGTCAATCATTATTACTGAGTTGTGTTGCATTTCTGACTTGTTCTCTAGATACAACTAAGGGTAGGAATGAGCTACCAAAATGCTGTCAATATCTATAATTGAGCTAAGTAATCAAGTACAGACACATTTTCATGCAGAATGGGCTGTTTTCTAAAGATGTGGGAGAGGAATAATAAGAATATTTGTTATAGCTGAGCAGATTACTTTTTTTTAGCCTAAAAACATAGAACTTTTAAAATTGGCAACTTTCTGTGTTCAAGTGAATGAAAATAGGAAAGATAACTGAGTGCTGTTTGGACTAAGAAAAAACTCTGAATCAAAGTTCAGCTTTACAGATGGTTGTGGTAAAGCTTTGCACAAGGCCTTGCACATAATGAGAGCTCAAAATATTTGTTATCCACAACCTCTTGAGACATTATTCTCGCTTGACTTCTGTGGTCCCACACTGATTTCCTTCCTAGGCATCTGGCTTTTCTGTCTCCCTTACATTTTTATCCTTTGTAACTAGGGCAGGAAATGTTCCCATTCTCTTAAAGCCCCATAACTGACCTTTCACCCACTACCCTGTTCTGTTCTCCTCTCTCTGGTTCTGTCCTTCTCTCTTTGCTATTTATTCATATTCATAGTTCAGTGACTATTTATATGCCAATAATTTGTAAATTTATTTTCCTAGCTCTGACCTGTTCTCTGACCTTCTGATGGAAATATCTAACTGTATACAGCACAATGCTAAATCTCCAACTCAGCCTATCTTAAACCTAACTCATTTTCTTCAGCACACCAAAAAATCTTTGTCCTCTTCCTGCATTCCTTGTGTAGGGTATAGTTTCGGCGAGGCAGAAAAGGAAAGACGACATTAACAGAAGTAGGTTACCTTTATTCAGGCAAGGAGGGGCGACAGTCGGCCTGACGACCAGGCTGAGCGCCAAGAGGGATCTGGGAGGCTTTTTACTTATAGGGAGGTTTGTGGAAGCGATAAGGGAAATGTTAATCAGGCGGGATATTTTGAGTATTCTTTTGTTGAGATGACATTTGTAGTTGGGCAGGGGGTGATAGGTCTTCTGGGCAGGTGTAGAGGGTGGAAGGTTTCTGGACAGGGGGTGATAAGTTCCAGATAGATGCAACTGGCCTGGAGCATCAGGGTGGAACTAAAATTCTGTTTTGTTTTCTCCGAAGTTAGATGATTCAGCAAGGGGCCTTTGAGACTGTTGTTCTCTTTTCTAGGCCCAAAAGACTCATTCACCTTGCCTCTGTGAACTGAATATCCATCCTTCCATCTGCACAAACCAGAAACCTAGGAATCTTCCACACTTCCTTTCCTTTAACTCTCCATGTTCAATATAACCACAAACTCTAGCAATTTCTCTCTAAAATGTCTTGATTATGTTCATGTCTCCTTTTTTAAAGCCAAGCTGTCACCATTTCTCTAAGAGGTACTGTAATAGCCTTTTATGTGGTCTCCCTGCATTTTGTCTTTCCCTCCCCTCTAGTCTTTCCCTTCATGCTGCAGACAGGGTCCTTTCTTGAGTGCATTTCATTTTGTGTAACTCCCTATTTTGCTCTTAGGATAAAGACCAAATTTCTTAATAAGACAAAAAGTCTTGCATGTTCTGGCTCCTGTTTACCTCTTTAGCTGTATCTTTTCCCTGTCTCCCTTTTACTCTTTATACTCCAGCCATTCTGGCGTTAATTTCTTGTGGGTGCCACAACAGAGCCCTTGTGCATACCTTTCTGCTATACCCAGTTAACTACTATTTGTCCTTCAAATCTCAGCATACATTGACCCCTTAGACCCCTTATCTGGCTTCGAACCTCTACTTCCAACAAACCCCTCAAAACTAGATCAGATCCCCCCCCCCACTAAGGCTCTCATAGCACCAGATGTCTTTGTGTGATCATTTCTTTAGCATATATCTCCCCAACTAGAATGAGATTCAGTCAGATGGGGACCATGTAAATTTTACTCGCTGTTTTCCTAGGACCCCTAGCACCGTATATGGCTTATAGGAGGTGTTCAGTATATATTTGTTAAAAGAATGGGTGATTAGATGACTGACCTGCTACTCTCTCCCATTTTTTTTTTTTGTTTTTTACTCTAAAATAGGTGGAAAATATTTATGTGTAGGAAGTAGAAAACAAAATACAAAAAAATAGACTATAAAACTGATTAATAGACCTTTTTTATTTTATTTAAATATTTTAATTAAAGTATCATTGATTTACAGAATATAGCAAAGTGATTCAGTTATACATATATTTTTTTCAGATTCTTTTCCATTATCCACTATTATAAGATAATTGAATATAGTTCCCTGTTGTTTAACTATTTTATGTTTAGTAGTGTGTATCTGTTAACCCCAAATTCCTATTTTATTCCTCCCCACCGCTTTTCCACTTTGGTAACCATTAGCTTGTTTTC